AAGTGCTGGGATTACAGGCTTGAGCCACCGCGCCCGGCCTGTCTGTTGTTTTTTCATGTCTCCCCCAACCAGGCATTAAAACATGCACAGAAATTCCAGCTGACGGGCTCCTGTGAAGTTGCAAGTTACAATTTGGTGAAAATGCCCCCAAATACTTCCTTTATTTCCCAAGGAAAGGAAAAGAAAGATATAAAAATTAAATTAAAGACAAACTTAAATCATTCCCATTTCTGCATGCTTGGTCTGTGTGGGGGAAAAAAATAATTTCATCTCTCCAAGGCAGACTTGACGAGTAGAGAAACTCCCTAAAAACAATATATACAGGCCTGGCGCTGCGGCTCACGCCTGTAATCCCAACACTGTGGGAGGCCAAGGCAGGCGGATCACGACGTCAGGAGTTCGAGACCAGCCTGGTCAATATGGTAAAACCTTGTCTACTAAATATAAAAAAAATTAGCTGGGCGTGGTTGTGCACACCTGTAGTCCCAGCTACTCGGGAGGCTGAGACAGAAGAATTGCTTGAAACTGGGAGGTGGAGTGAGTTGAGATCGTGCCACTGCACTCCAGCCTGGCAACAGAGCGAGACTTTGTCTCAAAAAAAAAAAATGCATACAAAAAAAAAATCATACCAATTAGTCTCAAAGGTTTCAGGAAGGAAAACACAGTTAAACTGAAAACGGTTAACTGGTGTTAAAAAAAAAAAAAAAAAAGAAACCAGCCCGGAAATGTTTTTAGGACTATGTCTATCAAAGTCCCTTAGGGACTGATTTGTCCTGCAATACATTCGTCACAGCACCTGCTTTCACTAAAAATCAACAGCCCAATGCCACAGCTTTGTGAGTGAGATGCAGAGTAGAACTGGACATGGAGCTACACAGCTCTGAATCATGTCACCCAACAGCAAGCAACGGCCACACAAAGGATTCCTGGCAGTGCCCTGTTGCCACTACGGTGGGTTCATTCATACGGCCATGGGAAGCTGTACAACAGCAGATGGCATCCTGCAGCCCCAGCTTCTCCTTCTGCCTCATTCCTGTCTCTGGTCCATGCCTTTGCTTCCCCACCGGCCCACTGCCCAAATACACTCAGAAAAAAGTCCCTGCACAAGCCTCCACCCAAATTAATTCCACGTTCTCTCAAGAGAGACCTTGAAAGGTACTGAAATTCAGGGAAGCTCTTCACTAGACTCCTCACTGGACGCCAAGAAATGATGTCATGGCCCTTGACATAAGTGCTTATTCCCATTTATGAAATGGAAATTATTTTCTTCTGAGCACAAAGCTAACAAATGTGATCAAAATAGAAAATAAACAATCCCAATTCAAGTGCTCAGAATGCAGCACAAATAGGATCTTGGGATAAATAAGATAGAGCTGTGAAATTAATATGGATGAGAGGAGGGGAGGGTCAGCGGGAGAAGTCCACCAAGGGGCTGCAAGGCCTGAGCAGCAGTCCACCCTGGGAGCAACTGGAAGAAGGACCGAAGGGTCCCCAAAAAGAACACTTCACACTCCCAGCTTGTCACACACTGGTTGAACTATTTTGGGTGGATATCACCTCCCTGGATGGCAAATGGGACGGGCCCAAGATGCAGAAGGGAAGGGAAGTCACACTGACAATGCAGAGGAGGTGCCCTTGTCCCTCATACTCTCTGCAACATTCCAGGAAGAATTCTGGTTTCATTGCTGCTGTTTTTTGTTTTTGTAAATAAACCGCAAAAAACAAATGGCCTCAAAATTGAACACATGTGATTTATACCAATTTATACACCAAAACACAAATAATGCAGAACAAGTAAGAGAAAAACTATGGTCAGACTCTCCACTCACTCATGGCTGGTGGCTGGCATTCAACTCTCCAGCAGCCAGGGAGTCCATTTTCTTTTTTCTCTGCTGTCCATCCTTAGGGACTGCCAGGTGGGCCAGGGTGTGCTGCCATCTGCAGGTCAAACAAAGACAAAACATAAGTGAACGCTCCAATCATTTGCCTGAAGCCCCTCCTATCCTCAGGCAGCTGGAAGACCTCCTCCCGGTCCTGGGACAAGAGCCAGGAGCACTTACCCAGTGCCAATACCTGCTGGGCCACAAACAGTCTCTGCTTGGGATCCCAACACAGGCAGCAGAGTCAGCAAAAACTCTAAGATATCAAGAAGTCAAGTGTTTCTTAACAACAGCAGCAAACTCTTACACAGGGCTGTGGTTACCAGACACTGCTCTAAAAAACTTATACTTGTTTACTTATTTCATCATCACAACAACGGGTAAATATTTTAGGTCTCTGCCAATTTGCCTGATTACTGAATTATGTCGAATCATTAAAATGAAGAACTTGATAATACCCAGTTTCAAAGAGGGGTCAAATATGAAACTTTATGAGAGGTTCTCAGCATCCTGCAGACATTCATTCCCTAAAAATTCATCAAGTGTTTTTTATGGACCAGACACTGCTCTAGGATCTGGGAAGAGAGAAGCAAATAAACAAAGTCCCTGGTCTCATGAAGATTCTGTTTTAGTGGAGCGAGGCAGCAATAGAAAAGGAGACAAATGCCATGCAGAAGAAGAAGTAGGGAAAAAGGGAGCACAATGATAATGCTGTTAATACTCATTCATTTATGCACTTATTTCCAAGGACTTAGTAACCATATAATTTCTTGCCCACAGTTGCATGCCAGGTCAGGCACTGTGCCAAGGATGCAATTGTGGATAAGAAATAGACATGGTCTCTGCCTGTATGGAGTACTTACATAAGAGGAACATTTATTATTAGTCAAATAATCACCTAAATAAATGCAAAGATGTTAATCTGTGATAGGTGTGATAGCAGAATTGCATGCAGTCCCTGTGAGAGCATCTCAAGGAGGCCTGACCTTATCTAGAGGAAGGCCTGAGGTGGAGTATGAGGAGCAGCAATATGTTAGTCCATTTTTCATTGCTCTAAATGAATACCTGAGGCTGGGCAATTTATAAAGAAAAGAAGTTTAAGGCGAGGTGCAGTGGCTTACGACTATAATCCCAGCACTTTGGAAGGCTGAGGTGGGTGGATGATCTGAGGTCAGAAGTTTGAGACCAGCCTGGTCAACATGGTGAAACCCTGTCTCTACAAAAAACACAAAAATTAGCTGGGTGTGGTAGTGTACCCCTGTAATCCCAGCTGCTTGGGAGGCTGAGGTAGGAGAATGACTTGAACCTGGGAGGCAGAGGTTGCAGTGAGCAGAGATCACACCACTGTACTCCAGCCTGGGTAACAGAGTGGGATGCCATCTCAAAAAAAAAAAAAAAAAAAAAGAAAGAAAAAGAAAAGAGGTTTATTTGTCTCACAGTTCTGTAGAGTGTACAAGCATGGCACCAGCATCTACTTGGCTTCTGGTCAGGCCTCAGGATGCTTACAATCATGGTAAAAGGTAAAGGGGGAGCTGTCGTGTCACATGGCACAAGAAGGAGCAACAAAGGGGAGGAGGTGCCAAGGCACCTTTAAACAACCAGCTCTCACCTGAACAGAGTAAGAACTTACTCATTATCTCAGGGAGGGCACCATACCATTCATGAGGGATCCAGCCCCATGACCCAAACACCTCCCACCAGGGCCCACCTCCAGTGCTGGCAATCACATTTCAACATGAGATTTGGAGGAGGCACACATCCAGATCGTATCAAGCAGTGTCCCTGGTCAAAAGCACACCCTATACACAGGCTGGATCGTGAGCAGTCAGCAAGGAGAGGACACAGGGTAAGGCTGAAGAAGCAGTGTGACAACCCTTGCATGACACTCTGCCACAAGGGGAGTTCGAGCCTTAACCCTGGAGAACTGGAGCATCACACAAGGGTCTTAGGCGGAGGAGTAACACATTTAGATGTGTGCTTTTAAAAGATTATCTATGGGCTGGGCGAGGTGGCTCATACCCACAATCCCAGCACTTTAGGAGGCTGAGGTGGGCGGATCACCTGAGGTCAGGAGTTCCAGACCAGCCTGACCAACATGGAGAAACCCTGCCTCTGCTAAAATATAGAATAAGCTGGGCGTGGTGGCACATACCTGTAATCCCAGCTACTCGGGAGGCTGAGGCAGAAGAATCACTTGAACCTGGGAGGTGGAGATTGCGGTGAGCCAAGATTGTGCCACTGCACTCCAATCTAGGCAACAAGAGTGAAACTCCGTCTCAAAAAAAAAAAAAAAAAAAAAAAAAAAAAAAAAGAGAGATTATCTATGTAGGCTGAGTAATAGCCCTGCCAAAGATGTCTATGTCTGAATCCCTGGAGGCTGTGCATATGTTCCCTAACATGGTAAAAGGGACACTGCAGATGTGATTGAGCTAAGGGTCCTGAGATGGGGAGATTATCCAGGCGGGCCCAATGTAATCACAAGTGTCCTTACAAGAGGGAAGCAGGAAGAGATGTGACTTCAGAAGAGGAGCCTCAGAGTGATACGGCACGAGAAAGATTTGGCTTCGAAGAGGAGGAAGGGGCCCTGAGCCAGGGAATGCAGCCTTTGGAAGCTGGCAAAAGCAACAAAACCATTCTCCTCTAGAGCCTCCATAAGGAACGCAGCCCTGCTGTAACATAGCTAGCCTAAAGTTAGAACCTGAGCAATGCCATTTTATACAAGACAAAGCTGTTTTCCAAAATTAAGTTGTAATGGCTGCCCTATTCTCTTCACAATAACTGCTGGCCTTGGCTTCTGTAAATAAAACTGCTAGTTTGCTCTGTGAAATAACTACTATGTAAAGCCGCTTAAACTTTGCTTATCAGTAACTGCTCTCTGTGGCCCTAATGTGACACCCAAGCAGTCCTAACCCACGCCATCTTGATTCCTGCAACTTGTAATAAGTAACTAAGATCTGTGACTTCCATCACTACCCAGACAATGTGTAAACAAACGTTTATCTTGACTTCTGTGAACCACTTAAGTAACAAATGGAATGACAAGAGTCCCCTAGCCCTTGGAATATCCAGAGCCCTCGTCTCCGTCCAGGAGGTGATTTACAGAATCCACTAGCCCTCGGAATGTCGGAAGCCTTTTCATCCCCATCCCCGCTCCTCACCCCCACTCCCAAGGTGGTTTTTCAGGTATAAAAAGTCTTGGCACCCTCCTTTCGATGCCACAGGTTGGAGAGACGTGAGTCCTCTGTGGTCGCCAGCAATAAAGACCCTACAATCTGGCATACTTTTGTCTTGGTGTTAATTTCTATGCTCGGTCCAGTATAACACTGCCAAAGCCTTGATGTCAGGACTTTTAAAATAGTAAATTTGTGTTGTTTTAAGGCACTGATTTTGTGGTAATTTGTTACAGCAGCAATAGGAGAATAGGACATACTAGCTCCTGTGGAAAACCAGACTGGAAGTAAGGGCAAGGGGAGACAGAGCTCAGCTGGAGGTCACTGCTGTGGTCCAGGCAAGAGGTGTGAGAGCTTGTACCACCGTGGTGGCCGTGGGGATGGAGAGGAGTGGTGGAGTTGAAGGACCCCAGCAGGGGAAAAGCCTGCCAGTGAAGAAAGGTCTTGCTGCAATCCGGCAGATTACTGGAATGCCATAGCAGGCCTCTTTCAGGCTCAGGCCCTGGCTAGAGCCCAGCACCTCTACAGAAGGAGGAAGCTCGCCCCAGGGCTGTAGACCACTCCCCAGGCAGACACACCTTTACTCACATAACCTGCCAACCCCATTTCCGCAAAACAGTTCAAGAGTCTCCAGGAACAAGCCCTAAGAAAGAACACCTGGGGAATTTTTTTTTTTTTTTTTTTTTTTTTGAGACGGAGTTTCACTCATGTTACCCAGGCTGGAGTGCAATGGCGCGATCTTGGCTCACCGCAACCTCCGCCTCCTGGGTTCAGGCAATTCTCCTGCCTCAGCCTCCTCAGTAGCTGGGATTACAGGCATGCGCCACCATGCCCAGCTAATTTTTTTTGTATATTTAGTAGAGACGGGGTTTCACCATGTTGACCAGGATGGTCTCGATCTCTTGACCTCGTGATCCACCCGCCTCGGCTTCCCAAAGTGCTGGGATTACAGGCTTGAGCCACCGCGCCCAGCCGGCCTGGGGAATTTTTACTAGGCAAAAGGTAGCAATGATTTCTGCCAACCATTAAGCCTTGCAGTGAACTCTTTTTTTTTCCCCTGGAGATTTTGTAATTCTGGAAGACAGATGTCCAAATTTAAACATACACATCTCCAACCCAGCAGAACCATGATTAAATCCAACATCTAAAAACTTCATGGTCAGTAGAAAATGCAGAAAGTAAAGAAAGACTAAATAAGAAACTAGGAGACTCTCTCAGCATCTATTCTTGCTTAATAATCCAGACCTACTTAAAAAATGGGGCTGTTGAGAAGAAAAAGCAATAAAAATTATTTGAGAGAATTTTAGAAACATTCTCCCATTCTGTTGAGATTCACACAGGGTGTCTGGCAAATATTAAAGAAATATTAGGGAAAGTTACAGATTAGTCTCAAACCTTTTGGAAGGCCGAAAGGTTTTATTGGGACAGGCTAAAGGCAGCCGCCTCATTTACATTAGCATAGGAAAGGCTTTCCGGGTTTAAGTCTGTTTACCCCACCTCCCTTTGTCTCTACACAGTTTCCTCCTGTAAACTTTGGGCTGGATGACACTCTCAGGGGGAGGTCAAAGGGAAATTACCCGTTAATAATGTTTTCTCTGGGCCCAGAGCCTAAAGCATTTATCATCGTAAAACCACTTTTAATCATATTAATTATCCACAAGCGGGTTGACTTGGAACCTCTGTTAGGAATAAACGTGTGGAGGTACAGGGAATCGTGGTCATTTGGTTGCATTTCGCCCTCTAAAAGCAGCCAACGACATTTCCTAGCCCACTTGAATCACTGTAATGGTGTAAGAGTGCATTCATTCATCCGTCACTGAGACTGGGTCTGCAGGCCACACCTCCAAAGGTGGTGGTCAACGTCTCACACCATTACAGTGATTCAAGTGAGCTAGTGATGTTCGATTGGCTGCTCCATTCTATTCCAAAAACATAAATATACACACGCTAAAACGAAGTATCTTGGGTTGTATTGAGAGATGACAAGGATTTCTTAAGGGTACTTTTTCCCCATGACTTTGAAGCAGGCCACAGGGACCTAACTGAATTGTAAGAGCACGAAAGGATCCAGGAATGCCTGTAGGTGACAAAATACCAGGCAGTCCTGTTAGCGTAGGAGGAAGTTAATTTAAAAATAGATATATATTTTTTCTGGTGACAAAGTGACATATGCCTATTATTGGAAAACTCAACTCCTGTAGTCCAATGATCCAGAGATAACCCATTTGGAAATATTTTCTTCCAGTCTTTTTCCCCATTTTGGCACACATGCATGCATGTGTGCACGCGCGCGCGCGCGCACACACACACACACACACACAGGCATACTCACTTCATTTTTAACAAAATTAGGATATTGTATATACTTTTGTAACAAGTTTTATGTAACAGTATATGATTCTCCATGTATTAAATATAGTTTTTCATAACGATAGTATTCCATCATATGAAAGTATGAAAATCACTTAACAATCCCTTATTGCTGAACAAAGTTTCTAACTTTACGGTAACATAAATCATTGGGAGGAACCTCCTCATTGTCAGGTCTCCATACACAAGCCTGGAGCCAGAAAGTCTGAAGTCCTGCTTGCCTCCGCTAAAGTCTCCCACCCACTGCCTGCATTCCCCATTGTCCCTGATCACCCAGCAGAGCTTCCCACAAGCCCCCTCACCCAACCCTGCCATCTTAACTGTTCTTATGATAATGTAAATACCTCTCGCCCAACCCTGCCATTGTAACTGAACTTGTATACTCCTTGCCCCTACCCTCCACCACTGTAACTGAACTTACTCTGCAACACCCCCATCCCCCAAAAAACTACCCAAACCTATAAAACCAACTCCTATCCCACTGCCCTTTGCTAATGCCCATTTCGGCCTTAGCCCACCTGCACCCAGGTGAATAAACAGCCATGTTGTTCACACAAAGCCTGTTTGAAGCTCATTTTTTCAACACTCATCTACAGTAACATCCCTCATCTACAGAAATATCTGTGTGTATAGCTCTGATTATTTCCTTAGGGTCCTATTTCTACAGGAATATCTGTGTGTATAGCTCTGATTATTTCCTTAGGGTCCTATTTCCTATATCCATGCATTGCCATTATTATTTTGCTATAATTAAATACCATCTGTAATGTACTTAACATTTCTCTTTATATCAACTCATTTCTGTCCTTAAACAAATGTATTTTAAAAGCAAACCTGACCGGGTACAGTAGCTCACATCTGTAATCCCAGCACTTTGGGAGGCCAAGGCAGGCAGATTGCCTGAGATCAGGAGTTAGAGACCAGCCTGGGCAAAAATGGTGAAAACCTGTCAATACTAAAAATACAAAAAAAATCAGCTGGGGATGGTGGCACATGCCTATAGTCCCAGCTACTCAGGAGGCTGAGGCATAAGAATCACTTGAACCCAGGAGGCAGTGGTTGCAGTGAGTTGAGATTACACCACTGCACTCTAGCCTGAACGACAGCCAAGACTCTGTCAAAAAAAAAAAAAAAAAAAAAAGCAAGCCTTATTACCTTATTTAAGTGGAAAACCAACATCATACGCCATAAGTGAAGGCAATCATAAGAATGTTTCATTGGAATAAAAAACCACTGTGGTTAAAATATAGTCAAGATACTGCTACCCCTTTGCTCATTCTTTTATATCAAATGGGAGATTAGACAGGCTTAGAGAGGTATTAAAGACAAGCCAGCACCAAGCTAAAGTTTTTCTCTTTCCCTTGATCAGAAAGCTGAAAAGGAATTGAGCAGGGGAATAACTTTCTCACTGTGAGTCAGTGTTAGACAATGTGGCAAATGTGTCCCAACTAGAATTACCCTTCGCCACCTGAAATAACCTCACATGAAAACATGCCTTAGGACATATTCTTGAAGTAGAACTGGAACAAAAGGTATGGATACTTTAAGGAGCTTCTGATAACCAGAGCCCAAACACATCCAAGTTAGTTTTACCATGAGAGTGCCCATTTTACTTCACCTTCATAAATATTAAAGTACTATAAACAAAAATGTTAAAATAGTTAAAACGTTTCAGCTTTTTAGTGTAAAATATCCAGCAGCTGAATCTTCAAAGGCTATTTTCATGCTCCTCTATCTAGTTCCTGACTCTAGGGCAGGGCTATTTTATGAACCTTCAGTTAGTGGTAAGCTTACAACAAACTGATGTTGCACTTGGTTTCACCAAGTAAACTCTGTAAAACACGAGGAAGTGACTTTAGCATTTGCAAATATTTCAGAATGGCTTTGTGCCGCAAAGGTCAAATGAGGATCAGAACTGCATGGATTCCAAAGTATACTTTGAGAAATAAGACACCCAGAGAAGCATTACTCAACATACAATTCACTACAAATTTTCAGCAAGTCAATGAAAAATCTAAAAGAAATACATGTTTAAACTTTCCTATCCTAGATAATAGGCAATTGCACAAATAGGTTAGTTTATATTGCAATTGTTAACATTTCTAAAATAGAAAAAGGAAAGTGTATTTTGAAGCATGATGAATTAATAACAATTGGAATTGTCCAGATTATTATTATTTTTTTTTTTTTGAGACGGAGTTTCACTCATGTCACCCAGGCTGGAGTGCAATGGCGTGATCTCGGCTCACCGCAACCTCCGCCTCTTGGGTTCAGGCAATTCTCCTGCCTCAGCCTCCTGAGTAGCTGGGATTACCGGCACACACCACCATGCCCAGCTAATTTTTTGTATTTTTAGTAGAGACGGGGTTTCACCGTGTTGACCAGGATGGTCTCGATCTCTTGACCTCGTGATCCACCCGCCTCGGCCTCCCAAAGTGCTGGGATTACAGGCTTGAGCCACCGCGCCCGGCCTTGTCCAGATTATTTTAATAATTCCTGGGCAGATACCTATGTGTTTATGTGCCTGTGGGGAAAAGGTGAGGAAAAAAGAGAAGTGAAAAAACATGCTTAAAGATTTCTTATGTTTGGAAGGAGGTTATAGGTTCTGATTAATTTTTGCCAGAGAGGAAAATACAAGTTTATCTAAGCTTAAGAACTAAATGATGGCCTATTGTAAGATACAGAACTTTCAACTCACTGAATAAAAAGAAAGAAAGAAGAAACAGGGGAAAAATACACTTTGATAAATACATAAAGAGTCACGAGAAAAAAAAACAACAACACATGATAAATGCATGGCAAAACAAGATGGCAAAAATAAGACCACATTTATCATTGATCAAAATAATTATGAACAAATTAAATTCCATTATTAAAAGACCAAGACTTTCACCCTAAATGTCCATGAATGGAAAATGGATAAATTATGATACATATTCAATTTTAATGGGTGTGTATGTGTGTGTATGCATGTGTATGTGTGTGTATACACCACAGAAAGAGGCCCATGAGTTACAGTTTAGGAAGTTGTAGAAAAATATTTGTATAAGCACAGGAAAGGGTCCAGAAAAATACACCAACGTGATAACTGTGGTTGGCCGTAGAGATCGGGTTTACAGGAGGCAGAAGTAGACTTTCTGTTTCACTTTACAAATGTCTACACTGTCTGAATCTATTACAAAAAGCATGTTTTTTGTGTTTTCCAAAGAAACATGAAAAAATGGAATAATAAATATAAGGGCAGAATCAGTGAAATAGAGGATATAGAGGACCAAAACAAAAGGTGGTTAACAAAACCTGAAGTATTTATTTGAAAGCAGATAAACCTCTAGTGAGACTGATCAAGAATAACTGACAGAAGATTGAAAAAAAAAAAAACAAGATTACAGAAAAAGGAAGAAATGACAAAACAGACATTTTAAAATTTATAAAGAAATAATATAAATATATGATAATACATTAGAAAATACAGATGAAATGAATACATTTCTAGAAAATAAAAATTGCCAAAATTGGCACGAAAATGTGAATAACCACTTAAGGACTGAAATAATTTTGAAACCTTTTCCCCATAGAGTTTCAGACCCAGAAGATTTTACAAGTGCCTTCTACTAACTTCCAAGGAGCAGAAAATCTCTATCTTAATAGAGCTGCTTTAGAAAATAGAAGAAAAGAGAAAACATTGCCCAACTTGAGGTTACTTAATTTTGAAATGCGGAATATGGACTGTACAAATAAAGAAAAATACAGGATAGCTTTGCTTATAAACATGGATGTTAAACTCCTAAAGAAAATATTATCTAATCAAATCCAAAAGTATATTACAAACACATCATGATAAAGTGATTCACTACTTTAGTTGATTGTGGAAGAGGTTATTAGTGCTCACCAATCTCTCTGTTCTCGTCCTCCTGGGAACACCACCAGGCTACATTTCCCAGCCACCTTACAACTAGGTGAGACCTATGAGATAGCCTATGCCAATGGAATGTGAACAGAAGTGAATCTAATTTTCTGGCGCATGAAAACAGCAGCATTTTCTAAAAGCAATCAGTACTCAACACCATCCTGGGGTAGGGCAGCAGGGGACCCCATGTTTTAAAACTTGGTACCTCAGGCCATCTTTTGTCAAATTCAGATGGTTTTTTCAAAGTTAAGATCATTCAAGTTTTGTTTCATTAATGGGCCTTATGATCAGATCTGTGATATTAGGCTGAATTCATTACTATTACTAAGACAAAAAGTGAGTTAAAGGGGATTCTTTGTATTGCCCTGTGAAACCTGTCATTACTTAAATGTAAGTTAAGTACCTGATGATTTAGTCACTTTACTCTCAGCTCTTAGCTCTTTCACCCATCTGTCCCTGTTCTACACAACTTGCCTTATGGGTAACTTGCATACATATTTTCTCTCCCCAGAGGATGGGGAACACACTAAGGGCAGGGGCTGTTTCCACAGCCCTGGGGTGGAACCCCCTTCTTGCATACCAAGAATGAGTTGGCTATACCTGACAAAGGGCAAAGACAAGGTCGCATGCATCTTTCATGCTTCTGCTGGCAGATGCAGTGGACTGGAAATTTCCTGGTCTGGGAAGGACTCCATCTGTAAGTGTACCCTTCCCTGACCATCTATGCCAGCACCAGGATGAAGGTCCCAGCAGAGTGAGCCCCTCATTTCACATGGGCAGGGCCAGGACAAGAAGGGCAAATCCTGGCCTAGTTGCTCTCCATGCCCACCATCAAAGGGGATGAGCTGCTAGCTTGCTAGGTCATGGAATACTTGGAAGGCACCCCAAGTGCCCCCAGGTGCACCAGATCTAGGAAACTTAGGCAAATTACAGGAGGGATGGGGTGGGGCCCAGAGGGAAAAACGCGACAGACAGGTAAGAGGGAGTAGATTAAGAGCTCAGGTTAGGCATCCTGCTCGGCATTTTACCAACATCCTCCCACTTCTGTTTTCACCAACACCCAGGGAGGTCGGTGCCCTACACTAAGGAAACGTGTGTTCAGGTGGCCCCACTTGCCACGGTCCCAGCTCCACCCTGGGCTGCTAGACCCTTGGCACGCTTGTCTGAAGCCTCCCAGGTCTTCCAGCCCGGTTTGGAGGCTCAAAGCCACGAAACCCAGCGGTGCCGCGTCTCAGGCCCTCCCCGCCCCAGCGGCTGGACCTCCGACCCTGCCAGCGTCAAACGCCTGGCGTCCGGCCCGATGGGTCCGCAAGGAGGAGCCCGCGAGGCGGCCGCGAAGGGGTTGCGCTTACCTCGCCCGGTGCGGGCCGCGGCCTCAGCGCCCGCGCTCCAGGCCGGCCGCCGCTGCATTCTGCGCCCCTCGCCGGGAACGAGAGCTGCGCCAGTCCAGGCCACGACCGCTTTCATTTTCCTCAACAACATCGGCAGGAAAGCGAAAGCGAAAACCTCTGGGAGGCGGGACCAGGAGCGAGCGCGCGGGCGCGGGCGGGCAGCCAGAGGCGGGGTCGGCGGGCTGGGGTCTGCGCTTGGCCTGCCCGGTGGCATTCCGGCTGGAGCCGGGCCGGCCGAGTACCCGCGAGCGAGTCCGCCACGCACACCTGCCTCGGCGGGACCTTGGCCCGGGGTGGGCAGGCCCGCTGCAAGTGGAAAGGCGCCCGCGCCGCCTCCGTCGACGCGCACAGGTTCCTCCATCTGCCTTTCAGAGATTCAGCGTCTACTTGGGCATGTGGCTGGCAGCTATCCCGGGACCTGGCCGCTGGCAGCGCCTCGGTCTCTGGCCTGAGGAGGCGAGTGCCAGCCTGAGCAGCTGGGACCAGGCCTCTGAGGGGCCTCCGTTGGAGGGAACTTGATCATGAGGTACCAGGCACCTCATATGGGGTCAGCGGAGAAACCAAAAGTCAATGACGTCGGGTCCCTTCATCCGATAAGAGAAACGGGAACAGCAAGCCTCAGGTTTGGACTCCTTGGTCTAAGCGGTGCCCATCAATATCTACAAATTTAGAGATTCCAGGGTTCAGTGTCTGGCAGTTTGTCATTGTCTGTGATTTGGGGCAAAATATTCAACCAGTTAGACTTAGTTACCTCCCTTGTGGGATGGGGATAATAATCATACCTACTTCCAGAGTTTTAGGAATGAAATAATAGAAGGGAGAAAATACCTGAAATTTCTGTAAGCTTCTAGGTGGGCTCCTTGAGAGCAGCAACCAAGTCATTGTTTATCTGGATGTTTGATAGATATTCTCCAATGGCCAGGCCATCAACTTGGAGCTGTCTCCATGATAACAGGATAGTTGTCAAAGTTTGGACAATATTATCTGGAGTTTAAACACTGAGGAAGCCCTGCAATTTTTTTTTTGGAAGTGTCTCAAATTTAGCCTGACAACTAGTCCCTACAATTATGCCACGGAACCAGGTTTTTGTTAGAGCAGAGCACAGCCTCAGCGTTTGATGGACATTCCTACAGCGGTGTTTAGCACTGGCCACTGAGGTCTGAAAATATTTTTGCAAACATTTCTATTCACTTGCTTTTAGAAAACATTGGCAAGACATCATACTCCAAACAGTTTGCTGTGTTGTGTATATTTATTGCAGAGCAAACATGAACGTTTGCAGTGGAGCAAACACAGAGCAGTGTGTTATAATGGGAAAAAGAAAACAAAATAAACTATTAAATCTGGCCAGAGTCACTTTGGTTTACCCGTTTGTAATTTGGGCACATTCCTGGCAAGATGGAGGCCCTGGTCTGCGACTGATAGAGGGTCTTGTATGTGTCCTTGCAATAGTTTCCTCAGGAGCAGGTGGGAAAGCAGGGCAGGCCAAATGACATTCGAAAAACAACAGCCTGTTTCTCCATCCAAAAGATGATACTTTTAGTCTGTAGTATGAAGGAAAAAGAGAAACAAAAAAGGCAAGCCTTGGCCAGGCGCGGTGGCTCAAGCCTGTAATTTCAGCACTTTGGGAGGCCGAGGCAGGCAGATCGCCTGAGGTAAGGAGTCTGACACCAGCCTGGGCAACGCGGTAAAACCCCGTCTCTACTAAACATACAAAAAATTAATTGGGTGTGGCTGCGTGTGCCTGTAGTCCCAGCTGCTTGGCAGGCTGAGGCAGGAGAATTGCTTGAACCTGGGAGGCAGAGGTTGCCAAGACTGTGCCATTGCACTCCAGCCTGAGCAACAGAGCAAGACTCTGGCTCAAAATAAAAAAAGGCAAGACTTGGAGCCTTTTCATCCTTATAGGACAATTCTTGACTCCAAGATAGCAAAGTAGAGTTAAATCTGCTTCGGCATAAGAACTATGTTTGGGAAGATGAAGATGAGGAAAAGACAGGTAGAGATATAAGCAGATAAGCCAAATCCTGGTTACCTTTTATAGATATCACACATGTGAACAGAGAGCATCAGGAGGCAAAGGCAGGCCTGAAGTCTTTCGTCTTGGTGATTTCCCGGGATCCAGGTTTGGTCCCTGACTTTGTGGGACCAAAAATTTCATCTGACTTGTAGTGTTCCATAGTTGAGTAGCACTGATGCATAATGTCAGAATGCCAACTTACTGATTTCCTTCAGTATTTGCTAGAGAAGTGCTATTACATGCATTACCTCCTTTAATTCTCCCTACTATCATGTGGTATATTATAATCTATTAATTTTTCATTTGGAGGAAAAAAGATGAAGGAAATCCCAAGGTTCATACAGTTACTATGTATGTTAGTGGCAGAGTTTGAATCAAGGCCATCTGACCCCAAAACCTGCAGCTTAGCCATTCCTGTCAGAAGCAAGACTGTCAGAAACACTGGACTCGAGGCCACCTGATGAGTACATTCTCTTCTTGTAGCCATGCAGTTTGGAGCCCAGTAGTCAGAAGGTGGCTTAGTGAGCCTAAAATCAGAATCAGAAGAGTGAGTTGTCCGACTTAAATGTTTAATTATATCAGGTTTGGGCAATGTGGGATGTCTTTCTCCACAACACAGGTCAAAACCTGTAGGGAGGACTGTTCACTCATCCCTGCTGGCCTGGCCAGCTCTTCTCCCTAGATGGGGCCTGGTGGACACCATCTGTTTGTGTCGATGAGACTCTCTTTATTGTGGTACCCAGGCCACCCCTCCTCAGATGGACACATTTTTAGATAGGCAAGTCGTCACTGAGTAACATTACTCAATAAGGTCTTGCAGCCCTTATTTTTCTTTATGGAGACATTTTGTATCTGCTCTTGCTGGGAACCAGCCCAACCCTGTACGTGGGTGCTGAGGGAGTGAGAAAAGAAATAAAGACAAAGATAAAAGAATAGAATTTTTTTTTTTAAGAGATGGGGTTTCACCATGTTGTCCAGGATGGTCTTTAACTCCTGACCTCAGCTGATCCTCCCGCCTCGGCCTCCCAAAGTGCTGGGATTACAGGCGTGAGCCACCATGCCTGGCCCAAGAATAGAATTTTACAGCGTAGGTCTAGGGGTCCAACACAGTCTATTGGCATTGAGCTCTGGGCTTCATGTGCTTTTATTGGGTACATTATCTTGTTGATCTTGCAGGCTGTGAGGAGGTGGGTAGCCGAAGGAAGAGCATGTGTCTGCAGCATTTAATAGCAAAAGTGGTTCTCCTAAGAAATGCTAACTAAGGGCAGTGTGATTTTACCACCCATTGTCTATCTAGGTGTTTTGGCAAGACGGATGCAGCAGATAAGGCGCCATAAGGTCAGCCCACACACAGTCCATGAAGGGGGCCTTTATCTCCCGAGCACAGTGGATGCAGAGCAATCGGAATTGCTCTATGTTCTGAGAACATAGGCAGAGCCTGTGGCGTTTGGTGATCTCTGCCCTGTAAGGCCTTCTGGCCTTACTAGCTCCCATCTACAAAGACCCTCCCGAGTTTTGTGAGCAGAGGTTGCATTACTTCCAGAGTCTTTTGCATAGGCCCCCTTTATGAGATCCTCACACAAACTCTATGGTGGGAAGGGTTGTGGGACCAAAGCAGTTTTTGCTGCTCTGTAACCACACCGCAGTGTTATGTAGTTATAGGGCGCTCTCAGATGGTCTTTACTGTAGACTTCCTGTTTCCGCTTGATCTCTGCTTTTATTTTACTGCACCATAGTTTGGATATTATCCGTGGCACAAATCTCAGTGTATAAAAAGCAAAGCAAGCTTGTGATCATTTAACTATAAGTAACAGGTCTGCCCCTGGCCATCTCTTCCCACGGCTCTGACTGGCTTGATTTGTAATTTGACTTCTAAAGGACAGATTTCTATCCCAGCTCTTTGGAGGAAGCTCTGTTTTCCTTACTACCCTTCCTGATCTAACCCTGAAACAAAAGTTTGTACAGTAGCAAGTTCTGCAATAAGCACTTTATCCAGGCCTGCAATGATAGCCAATGAAGACACAAAAGAAGCAAAAATCCAAGTCCAAGGCCAGTTCTAAAAGACTTGACTGTCAGGTCTCCATATGCAAGCCTGGAGCCGGAAAGTCTGAAGTCCTGCTTGCCTCCGCGAAAGTCTCCCACCCCCTGACCTTTGCTCACCGTTGTCCCTGATCGTTCAGCAGAGGTTCCCACAAGCCCCTCACCCAACCCTGCCATCTTAACTGTTCTTATGATAATGTAAATACCTCTCACCCAACCATGCCATTGTAACTGAACTTGTATACTCCTTGCCCCATGCCCCACCACTGTAACTGAACTTACTCTGCAACACCCCCGACCCCTAAAAAACTACCCAAACCTATAAAACCAACTCCTATCCCACTACCCTTTGCTAATGCCCTTTTCGGCCTTAGCCCACCTGCACCCAGGTGAATAAACAGCCATGTTGCTCACACAAAGCCTGTTTGGAAGGTCTCTTCAAAGCACGTGTTTTTCAACATTTACTACAGAAGCAGGCAATGGAGGGTGGGTAGGGGGGCAGGGCAGCTGACGATCACTCAACACAGCTGAAGAATGATATAAATGGAATGAAAGCATGGTGCAAAGAGCATCTAACTTAGGAGTCATTGGTTAGGAAAGAAACATACCTGGTGTGTGATTCAGATAAAAATGAAAAAATCAAATAACCTTTTTAGATACTTCATTCAACACATATTCTGTGGCAACTACAAAATGCAGCTCATCCTGCTAATGCTGGGTTTCAGTGATGAGCAAAAATAAATGTGGTCTCTGCCCTTGGGAAACACACCTGAGTGAGGTAATAAAACAATCGGTCAAATATAGAATACCATCCTAAATGCTGCAAGATGGATCTTGCAGTGGGAATGCCAGAGGTGGAACTTTTCTATTAGGCTACCCATATTCTGGGGCTTTCTGTCAGCCTGACTGGCCAGCACTTTCTCAGAATGGCTCTGCAATATGAGGCTCTTCCTATTCCCTCCTTCCCTCTCCCCTTTCACAGGGGTCAGATCTGCATTACGGTGTGAGGTTCTCTCTGGTTACTCTTGCTTCGGTTCCTCTTTATTCACCACAGGCATTCTCCCCAATCAACTCTTCCAGGTTTAATTCTACCTTGATGTCTGCTCTAGGAGGACCCACGCTGACACAATGATGCCCTTAATTGACTTTGAGAACCTTGGAAGAGGCCCAAGTTTTGGAGGGCTCCAATTCTGCACATGTTGGCTGAAGTGTCGGGTGGGCAAGGAAGCTCCATACCTGCTTTCCCACTCAGAAGATAATGTTTGTGCTTTGGTACTAAGCTATCAACCATGACCTTTGTGGGAGCTAGGTTCTGGTCTTGTTTTTAAAATTCTTGTTCCATGGATAATCAGCAATTTCCAGTTTATATCTCAATACTAGTACTATTTTCCTCTAAAAACCACAACCTACTAATAGCAGAAAACATCCTTTAACTTCCTTGAGGAGGAGCTAAAAGTAAAAAAATCAAAAGGGGTTGAGCAATTATTCCTGAACAGCCAAAGAGAAATAATTTCCCTTTTGGGGGCCTTAGTTTTCTGGGAAAAGGAAGTCTGTTTTTCGGTTTTGTTTTTTTTTTTGAGACAGAGTTTCACTCTTGTTGCCCAGGCTGGTGTGCGATGGTGTGGTCTCGGCTCACTGCAACCTCAGCCTCCCGGGTTCAAGTGATTCTCCTGCCTCAGCCTCCCAAGTAGCTGGGATTACAAGCACCCACCACCACACCTGGCTAGTTTTTGTAATTTTAGTAGAGACAGGTTTCTCCATGTTGGCCATGCTAGTCACAAACTCCTGACTTCAGGTGATCAACCCACCTTGGCCTCCCAAAGTGCTGGGATTACAGGCCACCGTGCCCTGCCTAGAAGTCATACTTTGTAAGTGTTCCTTAAGGAAAGATCTTTCTTGTTTGGCAGCACAGATGGAAATCTGCCATTGTTGGTAGAAAGACGCTAGCACTCCAAAAGGCACTTTGGCTCTGAGCTTAGCCTCTCTAAGCAAGGTGCCCTTGGAGAGCTGGGTGCAAAGGATAACCCTGTCCTTGAGGTTCAGTCACCAGCAGCCTGTTCTGAGTGAATCACCCATTTGAAGGCAGAGCTCTTCAGGTCCACCGCCGGTTCTTCCCATGGAAGGAGGCTTGAACACAAATCATGACTAATACCTGAGTATTTGAACATGGCACTCAATCATAGTCAAGCATAGCATTTCTTTCATCAACTGCATACCCCAGGCAGCCCATATCCGTCTCATGGTGATGTGGAGGCTGACAGTAGGCGACTTTACAAGCTTTGTTCCCAAGCTGTCAGGAAGCCAGATACTCTTAGTCTGTTTGGACTAAAATGAGAAAGAAGTAGGTGTGGGCTTCATAAAAGATTTTTTTGCTGAGAGCTCTGTCTCTCATTCAAGGATGAATGAGTAAAAAATATTTGTTAAATTTTAAAAAACCACCAAATGTACAGTGAGTACTACTTAAGCACCTTAGGGATAGGCCTGTCTTTTCCCCCAAGGTAGTTACAATTTCCCTCATGGAACCCAGCATAATATAATAAGGACTAACTATTTGTAGTGTCAATAATTACAGTATAATTTACATGCATGATCTAATTTAATCTTTCTGGAAACCTGATATAGGTAAGGAATTTTACAGTTGAGGAAACAATCTCAGAAAAGTTAAGTCACTTCCCCAAAGTTATAGAGCTAGTAAGTGGAGACATCTACTTTTGGAACACCTAATTTATCTGCTCTGGATCTGGGCACTTAGCCAAAGCCATAGTGCCTCACATAAAGAGGATGCCATGGGGTAAAACTTGAACATGAATAGAATTGGGATAATCAGAGATGAAGGAGGACAATGTGTAGCTGGAGGCAGGAGTTTCAAGGAGAACTAGAAAGTTGAAAGGGTATCATATCAAGAGTTGAAATGCATTAAAAATATATGAAGGTTAGACTCTTTTATTGTAATATAATGACCTTTTTTGTCTTAAGTTTTGTGTTAAAGTCTATTTGTCTGGTATTAATATAGCCATTCAAACTCTCTTTGAGTTACTTGCATGGAAGATCTTTCCCCCCTTTTAATTTTCAACCTATTTGTTGTGACTTTGAATCTAAACTGAAATTCTTGTAGACATCGTAATAGTTGGATCATGATTTTAAAATCTATTTGGGCAATCTCTGCCTTTTAATTGAAGAGTTACATTTAATATAATTACTGAAAAGGGCTTACTCCTATCATTTTGCTACTTTTCTGTCTTTTACCTTTTTTATTCCTCAGTTCCTTCATTATTGCTTTCTTTTGTGTTAAAACATATTTTCTAGGACAATTCTAAATCTGTATGTTTGTAAACTATGTATTATTTATTTATTTTCTTAATAATTTCCCTGGAGATTACAATTCATATGTTAATTTATAAAAATCTAGTTTAGATTAATACCAAGTTAATTTCAATAATATTTAAACGCTTTGTTCTTATTCAGTTCCACCACCTTTATATTGTATTTCCACAAATTACATCTTTATACATTATATGCCCATCAACCTAAATTTTTTTTTTTTTTTTTTGAGACAGAGTCTTGCTGTGTCACCAGGTTGGAGGGCAGTGGTGTGATCTCAGCTCATTGTAACCTCCGCCTCCTGGGTTTAAGCAATTCCCCTGCCTCAGCCTCCCAAGTAGCTAGGACTACACAGGCACATGCCACTACACCTGGCTAATATTTTGTGTTTTAGTAAGACGGGGTTTCAGCATGTTGGCCAGGATGGTCTCAATCTCCTAACCTTGTGATCTACCCACCTCAGCCTCCCAAAGTGCTGGGATTACAGGCGTGAGCCATGGCGCCCAGCCTCAACCTAAATTTTAATTATTGCTTCAT